AATGAATAGCAGTGATCCCTTGTTGTTATCACTCCCAGTCTCCAGCCTTTGCACTGCAAAGTTTGCAGCACTTTGCAGTCGCCATCCACATCAGCTATGAGGGTGTACCACAGCTGCAGGTGACGGGAGGACCCCAAGTAACTCGCGTAACGCTGAAGCAGCGTCAGGCGAGGCTTTCCTTTCAAAAACGTTCCAAAACTCAAGTTGCGCAGTTTGTGCAAAGTGCATGTAATTTTTCCGCAACGCCGCAGTTGGGAATTGAACCCCAGTGTCTATCCTTCGTGGACTATTCGAGTATAGGGTGTACGTGATAGGGTCGTAAAGGGACCACAGTAAAAAGCGGGCCGAAGGCCCGCTATTCTACTCTATAAATAACATTTTTCCGCGTGTGTGGACATTCAACCCCGATTGTGGGGACATTGGGCGCCGGTAGCGAGTGTTGCTTGCCCGAATCAACTGTTTCCTCAAGAACAAGTCTTGCGTGCTTATCGAATCTTGCGTTTTCCTTTTATCTATCTGCGGACTATTGGTCAATAGTTTTTCGCGAGAACTGAGATTAAGTCAGATGCATTTTCGTGGGCTTTTGTCGACGTTTTAGATATTCAGTGATGATCACAGTCGTAGTTCTGGCCAGACTCTGGCCCTCGAACTTGCGCTTTTTGTATAGCATGCATGGCAGATAACTTTCGAACGGGCGAGATTTCATTTTTGCAACAGCAGAATGCCGCAGTAAGGGAGGGAGGGGGCTACAGTCGTCGTACTGCCTGAGACGTGGTTTAGATATTCGAGAGGATGGAATGCTGTGAGCGCGAGAGGGACGAGGCATTGGCACTTGTTCAAAGCTGGAAGGAGAAAAGGACGCAGTTGGAGAAGAGTGAGATGTTAACATGTTGCTGTTGTTTCTTCAGTGACTTTGTACTGATTCTGTTAAGGCGTGGGTCTTTTTGTACTATTTGTCATACTGTGTGATTCCTCTTCTTGTGAATGTTATTTTGACCTCGAAAGGGACCATAATCCTCATTGATGATAATCTACGCATGACGGCTGAATGGGATTTCCGTACTTTACTGTATAGGTTCTGAACTGACGAAGAACAAGTTGAAGAATATGAAAGAAGTCATCAGCAGTAACTCATCAGAGATGTCGTTGAAGGCCGGACATCTCGCGCAGATGACCAAGCACAACCAGGTGGGCCTCGTCCGCTGGACATTCGAGGTATATAGTCTTAGGGATTGTTGAGTGTTTTGGAGCAGCTCGAAACCTCCAAGCGAGAGCTCGAAGATGCTGGTAGTAGGCGGAAGGAGAAGATCGACCGACTGCGGGTGGTACGTTGCTGAGTTTGGGTGGTAACCCCTTAAGCTGCCCCAAGTAGGTTGAAAAGGACTTCAAGTCTGCGGAAGAGAGGGCGAATGACGGAGCGCGGGAAGCCAGAGTGCGTCGCCTATTATGCAGCTATTTCTGAGAGAGAAGTGTCGTCAGGCGAAGCTACTCGCATTGAAGGACAGATTGCGAAGTGAGAGTGACAAAGCAAATTCGAAAAGGTTAGTTCGAAATGGACCAGAATGTCATCGGAGTTGGGCGACAGGATGGAGGTGTTGAATTTGGAGGCGCGAATGAAGGTCGACATTGAGGCTTTGAAGCAGGCTGTGCAGGTCGTGAAACAGAAGAACCTCGAGTATGTTACTAGGTAGAGGGGTAGGGGGAAGAGGGGGGTGGCTGAGGTATATAGTAGATGCAATCGAGATGATCAAAAGCATTTGGAGTTGAAGGGTGAAAGGGTTAAAGCACAACGTGAGTTGGAGGAGCTTAGGAAGCTGGGAGGTAGCAAGCAGAAAGAGGTAGGAGTGCTACAGTAGCTGCCTTGCTGACTGGGGTGAGGTAGTTGAAGGGGGAGCAGGAGGGCAGGGAGGAGTTTGGTCGTAGTAAGGCGGTATTACTCAAGGAGATAGAGCAGGAGGTCTTCACTGATGCTGGTTGAACTTGTTAGTGATGTCACTATTTGTAGGAGTCGGTACTGCTATCACGGAAGAGCGCTTTGGCTTCAGCTGAGACCAGTAATGAGCAACTTCAGCAGTCTCTACGAATGCAGGAAAGGAAGATACGGGAGGTGACAGTATGGTAATTTTGTGGCGCGCGGTAATTGCCTGTCGTTTAGGCGGCTGACAGGACCTATACCCTGATGGACTCTCTGCGAGCTGAGAGTGTCTGTCGATGGTCATCGTGATTTGACGGAGGAGTGGTACTCTCTTAGGTTGAGTATAAGAAGGTAGAAGCGGAAGATACCTCACAGGAAAAGAGAGTGAAGAACCTGGAAAAGACTTGTCAAAATCTCACTGCGAAGATTAACATGGAGATAGCCTCTAGAGAGGCTGTCGAGGCTGAGATGAAGTGAAAGGTGCTGTGATGTGGGGGGAGGGATCTTGATTTAGGACGGTGAATTCCGAGGTAGAAGCTATAAAAAGGAAGAACAAGAAACTCGAGGAGGGTATAATGAAGGCCCAAAAGGATGTTGAGGGGAAGCAGGAGGAGATGAGGGGCCTTGTGGCGGAGATAACTGCAG